GTTTAAATATCTGTTTTCTGCTATAAAAAAACCATCTATCCATTCTGTCCTCCTTGTTCCTAATCAGGGTCAGGGTGGGAGCTGGAGCCTTTCTCAGGTCTTAGACCATCACAGGGACACAAAAACACAAACAACTATCCACACTCTGGTCACACTGAAGAACTCCAAAAGGGTTTCAAACTGGGAACTCTGGAATCAGATCCCCCTGCTGCTGCACAGTATTTAAATTACTTATTATCAATAATAACAAATCATATCTACCACAGTTAATTATGATTATCATGAGGAGTCTTTAAGTTGAGATTTAATCAGGGAGTCAAATATTTACATGTATAAATTTATTATAAATAAGACTATAATTAAAGGTGAGCCGTGCAAATTTATGTTTGTATCAAGAAGTCCTCCGTGTTTCTCAGTACCACCAAAGAAACTCCTAGTCTCAAAAAGTGTGGTGAACCCTGCATTGGAGGATAACTACTCCACTCAGACACAGTTGGCTCCCCCCCAAAAAATGTTTTTGTGTTTGGTTAAATCTGTCCTTTATTAGATTTACCTGTTATCTTGATTTTCTGTTTGTGTGAAACATTTATAAATCAATATACTTTGAAGGATTGGTGAATTATTTTAGTTGAACAAACAGCAGTGAACTGACCTTAGAACCTCCAGTCTACAGTTTAGACCCTCCAGTCCAGAACACAGATGCTTCACTCCAGAGTCAGACAGTTTGCTCTGACTCAAGTCCAGTTGGGTTAGGTGGGAGGGGTTGGACTTCAGAGCTGTGGCCACAATGTCACAGTGAGTCTCTGAGAGTCCAGCAGCTCTAATGACAGAAAAAGTAAAATAAAAGTTCAGTCATGAAGTTTACAGGAAGATTCCAACTATTTCAGCCTCAGAAACTCAGAGCTGTTTAAACAAAAGCTGTGTTGTGGATTCTTACTCTGCTTCACTCTGAAATTATACAAATATTTGACTCCAACCATCTCATTATAAAGTCAAGAGGTGGAAARCTCCTTATGTAAAATTTATTTAGAAGCATTGAAATGTTTATGGTAACTTAAACTTGTTTTGTCATGTTTTAGCATGGCCTAAGCTTTTATCCTGAATGTTTTTTTACTTACTTTTCTTTTATACTTTCAGTAGATTTAAAACCAGTACTTTTATACTTTTACTTAAGTAAAAAAAACTTTTGTTGATACTTCTACTTCCAAAAAAGTATTTTAAAACCCCAGTACTTTTACTTAAAGAGGCTATATCATGTAAAATCAACTTTTTTGAGGTTTATATCATGTTATAATTTTATCCTCTCATCATTAACATGCCCAGATTCTTACTTTGGCTCATTCTTGCATGCTTGAGAAATCCTGTTGTGTCCTAAGGCAGTAGGCAGGGGATCAAAAACGACAGGACCCTGTCACAAATCATTTTACAGCACTTCCACTCATCCAGCTCACTTTGTCATAGCAGGACAGCAGAAAAGACCTGTTAC